TCTCAAAAAGACGAAATTATAGAGATGGAAGAGAGATTCATGGTTTCTGGGGTTAGTCATGGTGGAGGGCAGTAGAGTGTAACTATAAAGGGGGGGCTCAAGAGAGACTCATCTCGCAATGGAGTAATTCTGCATCTTGATCATGGTGGTGATCACACAAATGTATATACATGTGACAAAATGGCAGAATGATATACCCACATTATACTAATGTCAAATTACTGGTTTTGATCTTGAACTACATTGTGTAAGCTGTCATCGTTTGGGGAAATGGAATTACAGAAACATGGATGCCCCTCAGGAATGTCCCACATTGGGCTCCCTGCTCAGCAGGGAGTCTGCTTCTCCCTCTGACCTTCCTCCCTCTTCATGCTCTCTGTCTCTCATTCTCTCTCTCGCAAATAAATAAAATCTTAAGAAAAAAAGAGCCTCTTACTGTTTGTCTCTCTCTCTGATTTTGTCTTGTTTCATTTTTTCCTCCCTCTCTGATTTTGTCTTGTTTCATTTTTTCCTCCCTCTCTGATTTTGTCTTGTTTCATTTTTTCCTCCCGTCCCCTGTGATCCTGTTTTGTTTCTTACATTCCACATATGAGGGAGATCACATGTTAAGTATCTTCCTTTGATTGACTTTTTTGCTTAGCATAATACCCTCTAGTTCCATCCACATCATTGCAAATGGCAAGATTTCAGGTTTTTTTGATGGCTGAATAGTATTCCATTGTATATACATACTACATCTTCTTTATCCATTCATCTGTAGATGGACATCTGGTCCCTTTCCATAGTTTGGCTATTGTGGACATTGCTGCTATAAACATTGGGGTGTGGGATCACTACATTTTATCTTTGGGGTAAATCCCTAGTAGTGCAATTGCTGGGTCATATGGTAGCTCTTACGTATGGTCATACAGTTAACTTTTTGAGGAACCTCCATACTGTTTTCCAGAGTGGCTACACCAGCTTGCATTCCCACCAACAGTGTAGGAGGGTTCCCCTTTCTCAAAGAATTTCTTTATAATGCTTAGTATTATATTTATATTATATTTGTAGTATATATTACATATTTTATATATTTACAGTTTATATTTATATTATATTATATTCAATTGTATGTTCAACCATTCATCTGCTAAGAATTTTATGCTTGCCTTACTGCACTGGCCAGAACTTCCAGTAATATGCTGAATATAATTATGTATAGTTATTCTCAAATTAAACTGCTAGTATTATATTGACAGCAGATATCATTGCCTTATTCCTGATGTTAGGGGTAAAGCACTCTTTCACCATCAAGTATAAAGTTAGTTGTAGGTTTCTGTAGCTATTCATCAGGTTGACGAAGTTCCCCCTATTCTTAATTTTCTAAGAGTTTCTATCATGAGGGTATTAAATTTAGTCAAATGCTTTTCTGCATCAAGTGATATGATAATGTGATTTTTCTTCTTCAATTTATGGCTTAATCCATTCAAACTGCTATAACAAAATACCATAGACTAAGTGGCATAAAAACAACAAAAATTTATTTCTTACATTTTGGAGGCTGGAAGTCTGAGATTTGGGGTGCTGGCCTGGTCAGGTGAGAGCCTTCTTCTTGATGGTCGATCTCTTGTTGTATCTTCACGTGGCAGAATAAGGCTAGGGAGCTTTATGGGATCTTTTATAAGAGCACTAACCCCTTTCATGAGAGCTCCAGCCTTATGACCTAATCACCTTCCAAAGGCCCCAGCTCCAAACATCATCACATTTTCAACATACACATTTTGGGGGGACACCAACATTCAGTCCATAGCAGTCTATTAATAATGGAGGGCTATATTGACTGATTATTGAGTACCGAACCCAGTCTTGTATCTCTGGAATAAATCCCATTTGGTCATGGTGTATAACTCTTTTTATATATTGCTGAAATCTATTTGTAATATGTTAAGATTTTTTGCATCTATATTCATGATGGACAGTGGTCTGAACTTTTCTCTTTTGTACTGTCGTTGGTTTGGGTATCAGGTAGATTGGACTCACAGAAGTGTTGGAAAGTGTCTGTAGAGTTGGTATTAATTCTGCTTTAAACATTGGGTAGAATTCTCCCATGAAACCATCTGGGTCTGTGGATTTCTTTTCAGGAGGTTTTAAATTATAAGTTGAATTTCCTTAATAGGTAAAGGGTTATTAAAATTATGTATTTTATATTGGATGTGTTATAGTTTCTATTTTTCCAGTATTGGTCCATTTCATCTAAGTTGTCAAATTTATGTGTGTAAAGCTGTTCATATTGTTCCCTTACAATCCTTTCAATATTTGCAGGGTATGTACTGATATTCCCTATTTCCTTCCTGATATTAGTGATTTTTCTCTTTTCCCTTTGTTAGTTTTGCTAGAAGTTTGTCAATTTTGTTGATCTTTTCAAAAACAATACCTTTTGTTTCATTGATTTTCTCTATTGTTTTTCTGTTCAAATTTCATTAATTTTCTACTCTTATTTTTGGCATTTCCTTTCTCCCACTTGCTTTGGATTTATTTTGCACTTCTTGTAGTTCCTTTAGGTGGAAGTTTGGATTATTACTTTGAGACTTTTCTTCTTTTTTAATGTAAGTATTTAGTGCTATAAATTTCCCTCTCAGCACTGGTTTAGTTGCATCCCACAAATTTTGACATACATTTTCATTTTCATTTAGTTCAATGTATTTTTTAAATTTCCCTTGAGACTTTCTCTTTGACCCATGGATTATTTAAAAGTTTGTGGTTAGTTTCCAGGTGCTTGGAGATTTTCCTATTAGCTTTTTGTTATAAATTTCCAATTTGATTCCTCTGAAGTTAGAGAACATATTCTGTCTGATTATAATTCTTTTAAATGTGCTAAGGTTTATCTTATGGCCTAGGATATGCAGTCTATCTTGAGATATGTTTTGTGGACACTTGAAAAGAATGCATTCTGCTGTTTTGTGGAATGTTTCATAAATGTCAGTTCAATTTTGCTGGTTCATGGTGTTGTTAAGTTCTGTATCCTCGCTAATTTTTTGCCTGGTTGTTCTATCACTTGTTGAGAGAGGGTGTCAAACTCTCTAACTATTATTGCAGATTTATCTAATTTTCCTTTCTGTTATATCAGTTTTTGTTTCACTATTTTGCAAGCTCTGTTGTTTGGTGCATGTGCATTTAGGATTGCTATGTCTTCTTGGTGGACTGACCCCTTCATCATTATGAAATGTCCTCTCTGTCCATGGTAATTTCCCTTATTTAAAAGAATTAAAATCAGACAGGTCTACTTTACCTGATATTTAGCCACTCCTTCTTTCTTTTGATTAATATTTTCATGGTATATCTTTTTCTATCCATTTACTTTCAACCTACATATAGCCTATTTGAAGTGAGTTTCTCATAGGCACCATATACTTGCTCATGTTTTCTTTCTTTCTTTTTTTTTTTTTTGTTGCTCATGTTTTTTAAATCTATTCTGGAATCTCTTTAAGTTTATGTATTTGGACTATTTATGTTAATATAGTTATTTGTATATTAAATCTAAGTCTGTCATGAAATTTTTTGGTTCATTTTCTGTTTGCTCTTTGATTTTTCCCCCCTGCCTTCCTGTGGTTTCTGAGACATTTTTAAAATTCCATTTTGGGGGCGCCTGGGTGGCTCAGTCATTAAGCATCTGCCTTCGGCTCAGGTCATGATCCCAGGGTCCTGGGATCGAGCCCCACATCGGGCTCCTTGCTCAGTGGGAAGCCTGCTTCTCCCTCTCCCACTCATGTTCCCTCTCTCGCTATGTCTCTCTCTATCAAATAAATAAATAAAATCTTTTAAAAAATACATTTTGATTGGTCAATAGTGTTTTGGAGTGTATCTCTTTGTATTGTTTTTAAGGTGGTTGCTCTAGGTATTATGTACATAGCTTAACAAAGTCTACTGGTTTCAATGTTTTATCAATTAAAGTGAAGCGTAAAAACCTTTCTCCTTTTACAGCACATACAGAATTTATAATCAGATGGAAAATGCTTGATATAATATTATGTAAGAATAAGCAGCATGCAAATCTATATACACAATATGACCGTATCTGTATTAGAAACAACACATGCACAGATCAGCAGATGGAGAGAAAATATAACGAAATTGTTATGTGGGACTGTTTGGATGCATTAAGAATATGGTTGCTTTCTTTTTATTTTCCTCCCTACTTTTACATAATTCTAAGTTTTCTTTTTTTGAGCATGTGCTATTTTTATAACGGAAGAGAAGGGTAAAAGAATACAGTAAGCTGAACCTTCAGATAGGCCTTTTGTTGTTCACATTTCAGTTATGCCTCCCCTGTCCTCTGGGAAGGTGAAAGGGTTTGCATAGATGGTGGCAGGTTGAGAAGTTGGCTTGAAAGGACCAGCACCCATGAGTTTATACGTGAAAGGAGGTAAAAAAAAAAATCCCCATTATAATTATGATGATAACAAGGAGATAATCTGAGTGGTAACCTTCATCCAGGCCAGATCCTCAGTCTGGCTGGAGGAGCCAGCATCAACCCTACCTTCTCCAGATGGGACGTACTCTCGTCACAAGCCTCTCTGAGCAGGTGCCGGGCCCTGCTGGGGTTTCCTTGCTTGTATGCAGCATGAATGCCTTCTGTCCCAGAGCACTGTGCTGTGGGGTCACTGCCTGGTGTGGATGGTTTGCTGCCCATGTCCTCAGCGCCTGGGTAGATAGAAGCACACACACAATGTCACAATCACTTGCCAGGGCTGCTCATGGGGACCACTGGAGAGGAGATCAGGATGTGCTCTCTAGGACATAAATCTGAGGCTTCAGGAAGAGAAAGGGGTGGCCCTGAAATAATGCTGGTGTCACCAAGGACAGCAGACCCCGGGACCGGCAGCTCTGGGGGGGAGACTTCCTGTGTGGGACTGGTGCTCAGCCAGGCTGTCTCTGCAGCCACACCTTGCTGTAGTGGAGGGGGTCGAGGACACCTAGGGCCGCTGTCTGGCTGGGAACAGCCAGGGTGATCTCACTGACAGCAACAGAAAAGCTGGGGCTTTGGTGATATAGCGGATGGTCCAGCCAAACTGTCCCCCTGCTGTTTCCTTCATGGGGACTTAGTATCTAGTGGTAGAAGAAATAAAGGCCTAATACTAGGGATTTGGAAATCTATCCCCTCTCTGCCTAGAAAACCCCACTAAGGGCATGGGATTTAGAATCAGCAACCCTCATCCATATGTGCCCTCGCACAAATATGCCACATTATGATCTTGGCAGTCCCATAAAACTCTGGGCCTTGGGACGCCCTTGGGCCACTGGTGTGACTGGTCCAGGGTGTCCCTAAGAAATCGCCTGACTCTGCTATTCTGGTTATCTGAAATGTTCCATTCTGGTTATCTGAAATGTGGCTCAGCCATCAGTCAGTATCTTGCTGTTCTCTAGTAGTGGACACTGGCTGTCCTGGGTGGAAGATCGTCCAGGCTGCTCCAGGACAACTGAGCACCTGGTGCTACTTAGGAGGAGTGGTCAGCTTTGCAGGAGGCCATGATGCAGCAATGCTGGGGCATCCACTGAGCAGCTGTGAGAGGCCGAGTACTGTACTGGGCGCTGAAGATGCAGATGTAAAGGAAGTCAGCTCCTACCCTCACTGAGCTCTCCCCTTAGAACAGGGGTTTTGTGGACCCTGTGGCTGATAAGCAGGTTTCAGAGGTTGCCTGAACATCCTAAATTGGACACAAAGCTGTGTGAGCATGTGCGCACATGTGTGCATGTGTGTGTGTGTGTGTACATTTTTTTTGAGGAGAAAAGTCAAGGCTTCTACCAGATTTCCAAATGCGTAAGTAAACCAGAGTTAAAAGTTTTACCTCTATAAATGCTACTTAAAAGACTGCAAAGAATGAGGAGTTATGTTCTGATTGTGTTGAGTGAAATAGGGAGAGATTCCAACCATTCTTCGCCAAGTCCACACAGTCAGTAAAAGGCAAACCTGAACAGAATTTTGGTCCCCTAGCTCTCAGGCTGGGGTGAACCCCCTCCATCTCTGTTGTCTCTTTGAAGAAATGAATAAAAAAGAAGCTTCTTCTCATGTGAAAATAATGCTAAGCAAGGTTGGCTTCCAAATATTCTTATCACAGAAGTGAATCACACTATAGCAGCTAACTTTTGGAAAATTAAAAAAAATTATTTATTTACAAAAGCATAAAACTACATGCTTAGAAACAAATTTAACAAAAGATGGGTAGACCCATAAAAATGTAAAGACATTCCATGTTCATGGATTAGAAGAATCAATATTTGTTAACATGTCAATTCTTCCCAATTTTATCTATAGGTTCAATAAAATCCCAACCATAATTCTCATAGGCTTTTAGGGGATAGAAATTAACAACCTAGGGGTGCCTTGGGGCTCAGTCAGGTAAGCATCTGCCTTTGGCTCAGGTCATGATCCCAGGGTTCTGGGATTGAACCCCACCTTGGGCTCCCTGCTCAGTGGGGAGCCTGCTTCTCCCTCTCTCCCCGGTTTGTGCTCTATTGCTTGCTATCTCTCTCTCTCTCAAATAAATAAATAAATAAAATCTTTTAATTAAAAAAAGGAACTAACAATCTGATCTTCAAGTCTGTATGGAAATTCAAAGGATTTTAAATATCCCAAGTAAGCTTGAAAAAGAAGACAATTGGAAGATGTACACCACCTGATTTCAAGATTTACTATAAAGCTACAGTAATCAGGGGGCACCTGGGTGACTCAGTGGGTTAAGTGTCCAACTCTTGATTTCAGCTCAGGTCATGATCTCAGGGTTGTGGGATCGAGCCCCACGTCAGGCTCTGCACTGGGTGTGGAGCCTGATTGGGATTCTTTCTCTCCTCTCCTCTGCCCCTCCCCACTTATGCTCTCTTTCTCTTAAAAAAAAAAAAAAAGCTACAGTAATCAAGACATTGTAGTACCAGTATAGACAGAAAAATCCATGGGACAGCATAGAGAGTTGAGAAATACACCCATATTTGTAATACTTGTACATCCAATTGGTTTTTGACAAGAGTGCCAAAGCAATATAATGAGAAAAGCAGTCTTTTCAACAAATGGTGCTGGAACAGCTAGACATCCACAATGAATAAAAAGAAACCCAGACTCCCACTTCTTACCACACACAAGCATTAACCTGAGATGGATCATGGACCTAGCACAAAGTTTAAAATTAAGGAACTTCTAGAGAAAATACATGAGAATATCTTTATGCCTTGAGAGTAAGCAAAGGTTTCTTAGATGGAACACAGAAAACAATAACTATGAAAGGAAAACTTGCTATATTAGACTTCACCAAAATTTAAAATTTCTACTCATGAAAAGATTGGTCTACCATTTAAAAATGAATAAGCAAGTTATATACTGGAAGAAAATATTTACAAAACATAAACCCCCCACCCCAAAAAAGGAGAGAATGGTTCCAAAATACACAAAACTCCTATAACTCAATAATAAAGGACAGCCCAATTAAAAATGGGCAAAGATTGGAAACAGCAGAAGATATTAAAAATGCTCAACACAGGGGCACCTGGGTGGCTCAGATCGTTAAGCGTCTGCCTTCGGCTCAGGTCATGATTCCAGGGTCCTGGGATTGAGCCCCACATTGGGCTCCTGGCTCAGCAGGGAGCCTGCTTCTTCTCTCTCCCTCTGCCTCTCCCCCTGCTCATGCTCTCTTTCTCCCTCTGTATCTGTGTCTCAAATGAATAAATAAAATCTTTAAAAAAATGCTCAATATCATTAGTCATCAGGGAGTTGTAAATTAAAACCAGAAGGAGACACCAGTTTACTCCCAGCAGAATTACTAGAATTTAAAAAGACTTATAGTACTTGGTGAGGATACGGAGCAACCAGAACACTCATATCTTATTGGTTGGAGTGTAAAATGGTATAACCATTTGGAAATAAGTCTGATGGTTTCTTATAAAACTAAATATACAGCTACCCTATGATCCAGCAAGTCTATTCTCAGATATTTACCCAAGAGAAATAGGTCTAAAAAACTTATCGAAGAATGTTAATAGCAGTTTCATTCATAGTATCTCCAAATTGTAAATAGCACAAGTGTCCATCAACAGAAAAACAGATTAACGACTACTGTGGTTTAGTAACTATTCAGCAATAAAAAGGAATGAACTACTGATCCACGAAATGAGAGACAGGAAATCTCAAAACATAAGGCTGAGTGAAAGAATGATTGCACAAGATGATTCTGTTTATATGCTGTTCTAATCTAATCGATGGGTGGGGAAAAACAATCAGTATAGTTCTTCCCGGAGGCAGGCATGAAGTTTACCAGGGAAGGGGCACGAGGAAACTGATGTTCTTTTTCATTACATTGGTGTTATTTGTCAAAACTTATCAAATGGTCTAATGCAGAGTTGTGCATTTTGCTCTATACGGATTTTATCCCCAATTGCTATAAACAATATTGAACTGTAGCCAATAATATGAATGTCGAAGATTTTGAGGGTGAAGTATATAGATCCTTCTTTGAAATGCACTGAAAATATTGGATTGACAGATGAATAGAGGGATGGACAGATGGATAGAACGTGAGAGAGCAATTTTAGAAAATGTTAATGGTAGACTTTAGGTGGTGGGTAATGGATGATATGGTTCGATTCTTTCAACTTTATGTTTAAAATTTTTAGTAAGAAAATGTAGAGAGAAGTGAATCAAAATATCATACCCTAAATGCAGGGCCCACCATATGGCATCCTGAATGAGCTCCACCATCAGGGCAGAAAAAAAATCCTGCTCTGTAGAGAGGCAAAGACAATCTGCTTACAGTAAAGGCCCTTGAAACCATTCAGGGTCTTTACAGCTCATTCTAAGCCATGACTTTCACTATTTCAAAGGCAACCGTTCTGAAAATCCATGTAAGTGGATAAAGCATCACACACGCTCTGCATCATTCCTGAAACACCAAAGCAAGATTGCTGTGTCTGAGTGAAGATTACTGGGTTTTTTTTGGCTGTGTATTTTTTGCAAAGAGGAATCAGAAAACGGCTTAGTGTGTAAGTGGTTGCACTTGTGAGTAAGGCAGCTTCGCTCCCCATCACATGCTAACAGTCCCATTAATTATTTACCGTCAGAGACCCTGGGACATCGGAGAGCTGGCTGGAAGGAGGAAGGCATTGGCAGGTTTCGAGAAGAGGGTAGAATCAACAGCAGCAGCATCCATCAGAAGAGGCACTTAATTATGTCATCGCTCCTCTTTCAAAATTAACAAATATTTCCCTTATCTCTGTAAAATACAAGCGTGTGTGTGTGTGTGTGTGTGTGTGTGTGTGTGTACAAGCAAGTATGAAGTGACCTCTTCTGTTTACTGTAGGAACATAAATAAAAACAGTTCACCTTCAGTCCCAGTTAAGTGACACTGAGAAGGCAGAAACTAGGGATTAGGGTGCATGTCAATTTACAAGGCGGGGGGCACTTGGGTGGCTCAGTTGGTTAAGCGCTGGCCTTCAGCTGAGGTCATGATCCTGGAGTCCTGGGATCAAGCCCCTCGTAGGGCTCCCTGCTCAGTGAGGAGCCTGCTTCTCCCTTTCCCTCTGCCTCCTACTCTGCCTACCTGTGCTCTCTGACAAATAAATAAATAAAATCTTTTTAAAAAATTACAAGGGGGATTTTACTTTAACTTGACTTTTAAATAATGCAGCATATGTGCAGTAAATGATGTAATCAGAACCAA